TATGAAAAATAAAAGAATGTTTCTTGGTAAAACTTCTTTCTTATCTTTTTTACTGTGCAAACCCTTTAATGTATCACTTTTAAATAATGTGTGCAGAATTGTTTAGTGTAAATGTAAATTGTTGTTATGGTGTTTTGAAACAAAAGCTTATTTTTTAATTAGAAATGGAATTGGTGAGATTGGTGATGTATTTCCGACCTTATTTCACGGAGACTGAAGGTGTTTCTTGGTGGTTTAGTCATGACCCGGGTAAGTCTGGGCTTGATCATTTATATCTGCATCAGTATAATAATAAGCCTGCCATTTGATATAGCACCTTAACATCATTGAGGCGACTTAAATGATTTCACAGGATATACTGTAAAGCTGTGTGACTGTGTGTATTTTGTGGGCAAACATTATGTAATAGGCTCAAAAGGAGCGAAACCATTTGCAGTTGAAATTGGTAGTGACCAAGTTAGAGGCTACTGAGGGCATTCAATGGAGATAAGCCAGACAAAACCAACATTGTTACAGCATACTTAAGCAATAGCTCTGTGTGACTTTACACAATTGCAATAAATGGTGCTTAAACAAACCATAGGTGGATTGACATAATAATGCTTGCATTTGATATAGTAGTTTATCATGTATGACCTTATCGCACCTCAAAACAGTTCACAACAATTACTGTTGAGTGTAGTGGAGTCCTGTAGCTCAGTGGTTAGAGCACTCGCTTTGCAAGCGAGAGACCTGAGTTTAATTCCAGGCAGAGGGCAAAACCTTGGGCAAGTTTCCTTACTCCACACAGAGCCTAATAATAATCCCTCCAAAACCCAAAACAATAATAAATTGGTCATTTTCAATCCACGACTGTTTGTGGGACATTGCTGTGCACAATTGGCTGCCGCGTTCGCCCACAAATATACAGTCAATTCACTTTACAGTGTGTTCTGTGAAGCGCTTTGGGATGTCCTCCCGACGTGAAAAGCGCTATATCAAATGCAAGGATTATTATTATTATTATCATAGTGACTCTGTATTTAAATGTGAATGTAGCAGCCAATTTGTGCATAGTATGATCCTGCAAACAGCTAGGAAATGAATGATCAACTTTAATTAGAAGATTGTTGGCTAGGACTGGGAGAAACTCCCTTCTCTTTTCAAATATTATCATGGGTTCTTTAACTCAGTCAGAACAAGTAGATGGGACCTTGTAGGTGCCACCTTTCAGAAAAAAAATTAAACCAACAATGCAGCACTCCCCCAACACTGCACCAGGATGTCAGCCTCGAGTCATGATCAAGTCTCCAATACTCTGCCATGATTTACTTCTCACTAGTAGTTTGCCTTTAGGTATTATAGACTTTTGAATTATGGTGCGATTACTATCAGTACAGCAATTTGCTATCTCAGTGTTTTAAAACTCTGCTGTGCATACCAGTATCCAGCAAGTACTAAATTTGCAAATCCCTGACACTTCCTGATTGATACCCTTGGCTAAAGAAGCTGACTAGCACTAACTTTTATAGCTATTCACTGATGGATCCATTACCAATGTCAGTTCACTGGCTCTATGCCAATGTTAGTTAGTTTTGTTTTATGAGGATTTGTACATCTGGATAGATGGCATGTTTAGTGTAATTTTTATTTTAGTACAACTTCTTTAAGCTGAAACCTATTTAAGAAAAGCTTTAAGAAGGTATTTATCTTAATTGAATTCCTTAAATCAAGATTGGCAAAGGAAAATGCAAAATTTCAGGTCTCCGTGGCTTTCACGGCTGTGATAAAAACAACTTGCCTACAAGAAAACAACATTTAAAAATAATCAGAATTGTGATGACTAAACGGGAAAGGAAAATATTTTAAATGAAAGCATTTCTCCACAGCCTGCAATATTGTCCCTTGACGCTCAACAAGCAACGAAACACTATTCAACAGGGAAATCAATTTCAGCAATCTCAAAGTACAGTATTTTAATGTTCACTCTATAATAATCTGGGAGGTTGTATTTATGATCGAGGTTACTAAATATTCAAAAGAAAATACCACCAATAAGTTTTTCTCCAATGCTGCAGCAAAATGAATTGCACAATGGCAATAAACATTATAAAGTATTTGAGGTCAAATATGTCCAGGAATAATGTACTCTTCATCTTGCAACTTTTATTCAATATTTATTCAGTCTTGGTGCAAGTTAGTGCAAGGAACCTCCAGGTTGCACCATAGAATCTCTGAATTGCATTAAACTCAATTAACATACTTCAGTCACATGACATGATTTCCCTTTCATTGGAGCTAATATACCATCTAAGTTTATTAAGAGGGCTACGTTTTGAATTACTATACTATAATGTTGAAAGGTTAGTACACTTCGTTTCTTCCCCCTCCCAGCCTCTTACAAAAGGAAAGTAAAATGAAGCGGCGGTGTGTGATATATTTTTTAAAAACTTAAACTGTATAACTGATTTTAAGAGATGACATACCACAAGATTAAAAAAATGATTTTATAATATGAAAGTATTAGTTTGGGTGATTGCAATTTTCTTATTACGGATTCTTTTGTTTGGACTGAGGGTGGGGGAGGGGTATTTTTTGCCTAAATTTCATTTTTAGGTTAGTTATATAAAAATAAATAATAATCCTTGCATTTGATACAGTTCTTTTCACATCTTGTATACGTCTCAAAGCGCTTAACAGAATATACTGTAAAGTGAACTGACTGTACATTTTGTGGGCGAAATGTGGCAGCCAATTGCACACAGCAGTGACCCACAAACAGTCGTGGATTGAGAGACCAAATTATTATTGGGTGTTTTTCTTGAGGGATTATTATCAGGTGTGTGGAGTAAGGAAACTTGCCCAAGGTTTCACCCTGCTGGTAATCGAACCCAGGTCTCTCGCTTGCAAGGCGAGTGCTCTAACCACCGAGCTACAGGACTCGTTCTTGTTAACTGCCTCCAAATTTTACAGGTCAAATGCATTCTTTGAACTAAAGTTTCTGAAGACCAAGAGCAGCTTTGTGCTACTGTGAAAATATTAGTACAGGCTATGTTTGTTCTAGATCAAATAATACAAACCTCCTGGTCCCTCTGATCCCCGTTGACTCATTGTTTGAATTAAATTAAGTTTAATCTCTGATAGTCCGAACTTTATTAAATAAATTCCTGTTTAAAGCGAGTGTTTTACAGATCCTAGGAAGTAGAGCATTTTAAAAACCACTGTGAAACCAGCAACCCACAGATGCATAAACCCTGATAAAACTAACTGTTTGACTAATCCAAGTGAGGTAGTACAAATGAGGTTTGTCTGTTGGGACCAGCTGCCAAAAGTGACCATAGAATGTCACAGATTCTTTACATCAGGTCTGAATGTGAACCATCTGTCAGGTTGGAATGGTCTGGGATTTAGTTATTGAAATGCTAATTCATGTATGTTGAGTCTCCACTCGAGTGTAAATTGGCACAGCCCAGTTTCAAGAATAGACCTGAAACATGAAAGGTTAATGTGCTCTGTCAAACTGATCCCACAGAAGTATTCTGTATAGTAAATTAATCCGATTATGACCATACTGACATCTTTATTCAGTAATCCAGTTATTTTACAGAAATCTATTTTTTAATAAGAAATTTGTGAAAACAGTAATTTTGAATGGATCATTGTTAATTTCTGTATCTTATACATGTATAATTTTGTTATTTCATGTGTTTTAACTTTCCCCACAATTTTCTTCCCTTTGCTCATGGTAGTGAATGTCAGAGTAGGCATCATAAGCACAAGGATCCCTCATTGAAGGAACCATATACTGTTGGTAGCCTAATCAGACTACTTTCTAATAAAGCAGAATTTTTTTTTGGAACTTTGAATATTAGATTCAGTGCCTTGGGACGTCCTCCCGACGTGAAAGGTGCTATACAAATATAATCTTCTTGTTGTAGATTCGGGTGCCATCTGTGAGATTTGTGAAGTATTCAAATATCGATTTGAGGGAGTTAATGAATTCTGGGGCGGTCCTTATAGAATGGAACAAAGGAAACATGGTTCCCCCATTCAAGAAGGTTGTCTTGGTGATATCTGGCAACTATTAACATGTTAAGCTGACCTGATATCCAAAATTGACAGTAAGAAATCATATGAAGCAGGGTAACTTAACATCCAAAAGGCTTTTGATAGCATCTCATCTTTGTCATTTTCCCTCTTGACAACTTTGGGTGCATTCATACAAACAAATAATTTTTAATTGGGTAATGCAGTTTTTCGATGAAGTATTACATTCAGTATTTCTGTAAAACATGTTTATTTACAAATAATTGGAGGGTGAAGTTTGTAAAGCCATTTCATTAATAATAATAATCCTTGCTTTTCATGTTTTCTAGATGTCTCAAAGCGCTTCACAGAATATACTGTAAAGTGAATTGACTGCATATTTGTGGGCAAAATGTGGCAGCCAATTGCGCACAGCAGTGTCCCAAATAATCATGGATTGAGTGACTAAATTATTTTTGTTTTCTTTTTGAAGGATTATTATTCCCGGAAAAGCGATCCGCCGATCGACTAACAGTTAGGTTCCCACTTAATGCTAGGTAAACAGAGGCATGTGTAGTAAGGAACCTTGCCCAACATTTCGCCCTGATGGGAATAGAACCCAACTCTCTCACTTGCTACGCGAGTGCTCTAAACACTGAGCTACAGTACTCCACAATTGCAATGGCACAATTGCATTTGCAGTTTGCATTTGTTTGTGTAGCTTTTCGTTTTCCAAATTCTCTACTAATAAAGCACACTTTGAATTTTTTAAATATTATTCCCAAACTTTGCAATTTGTCTATTTAACTCTGTTTCAATTACGTATATAGGTTTGCTGTGAGCACATTACAAATATGTAGACTAGATTATTTATGTAAATATAATGAATTTTAATGTCAACTGTGTGGTAGAGAAAAAACAGACTTACCATAACATTGCATTGGTTACATTTTATTCACATTAGCAATAACATTTTGCTGATTTTCTGGTTGCAGGATGTCTTAATTGAATCTCAGTTTAAAGAAATCCCACTGGAAGAACCAATTGCAATAGTAGATTGAAGTCGTTTCCTCAGGTATATGCATTTCTTTTCCAACACAGCTCAAAATTCGCAATTAAAATACTTTGGAAATCATTTGAAAATAATCTAATCAAATTAGACCCAAGACTAAAAAGGTTTGGTACCATACCATCAATATATTTGCATTTTTTTCCAAAGATAAACAGTAATATGTTTGTGCTGAACTAACTGATCTCAGCTGGGATCAGCAGTTGCACTGCAACAGGTCCCAGCACCCCTGAGCAAGGAAGTGGAAAGTCAGTTTAGGTTACTGCACCTGACCAATGTTGAAAAGTATGGGTAACTGGACAGGACGGGAATGAGAAAACAATTTGGCTCAGCTGTTGCCTCCCCCCCACCTCCCCCTCCCACAAATTGTCCACTGACAATCACACATGAAAAAAGATAATTTCAGGGTACTTGACAGCAGTTGGCATCTATGTAACTGTTCCCAAGCATTTGTCAGTGTCTTCAGCAAAGGAGGGGAGAATATTGAAAGGAGAAATTATTTTGAAAAACATTTTGAGAATTAAGCTTAATAAAAGTTATAAACTTTTTAAACAATAGAAGTAGAAGTTGATTTCCAAAACAAAATCTGTCAAGGATTCTTCACATACACATAACAATAGTTCTGGCTTGTTAGTACATGTTTTAAAGACTGCATGCTGAGGTACATTCAAATAGCTGAGAGGTTTATGAAAGTGTCACGTTTTCATAAATCGCAACAGTAAAGCTGAAAAAAGTTTTATGAATGTCAACTGAACCCAAAGGTTTTCTTGATCTTACACTCGTAGCTTTCTGTTTAATTTAACTTAAAAAGAACATCCAATTATTAGTGCAAGCTATAATGTCTTCATTCTTGTCTTTGTGTCTTCAACAAGCATAGACAGTCAGTTCTCTCTTGCAATTCTATGTACTTAATGAAAGAAAGCCATGAAAGAATTATAGCTACAAAATGATCATGGTGTCAAGCCAGGATTGTTAAGTACCTTGGGATATCCCCTGATGTGAAAGGCTAAAAAATATAAAAAATGCAGAGAGAAAATTTCAACATAAAAATCCTATCCCCAAAAATGTAGGGGCATGAAGTTTAGATTAAGAAAATATTAATTGGTGTATCATTTCTTCCTCAAACAATGTACAATTTTTTTCATGAACTCTATTTAAACCATTTTATCTGCTGAGGAGAGGTACTGCAAAGTTTCTGCCTGCACCCAAAGGTAAATTAAGCAAAACTCCAGGAAGCACACAGTATCTAACCTTGGGTCTCATATTATTCATCCTGATCCAGTTGCCCTTGGCATATTTCCAAGGTTCACTAGTTCAGGAACCATTAGGTAGCTAATGTCGAAAGTGTGTTTTTTCAGCTGGTGGTAAGAGTAAGTACTGCTTAAAAATTCATAATGACGCTTTTAGTTGAATATGTAATCAATCTTAGTCACAGTCAGGAGACTTGTTTTGTTCAGCAGCAAAATGTGATTTGCAGGTATTTTAATTTATAGTATTCACTTTTAAAAAAACATAGCATTTACTGAATGTGTGTATTTACCTAACGGAACTGTGGAGATTTAAAGTACAGAAGACCACCGTTCGGTCCATTGTGTCTCTGCTGGCTCTTTAAAAGAGAAATCGATTCAGTCCCATTTAATTGTGTTTTCCCCAAATCCCTGCAAATTACTCCCTTTTAGATATCTAGTTCCCCGATGAAAGCTAATATGGATCCTGTGTCAACCTCCACAACAGCAAGGCATTTCGCATCCTAACAGTTCTGTGTGTGTGTTTAAAAAAAATCCTCCTAATCTCCCCCCTTGCTCCTTTGCTAATTATCTTCAATTGCTGCCCTCTAGTTACTGACTCACTGATTATTGGAAATAATTTCTCCCTGTTGACTTTATCAAAACTCGTCATAATTTTAAAGCCCTCTATCATGTTTCCCCCACCCCTCCCCCTTTCTCTATTCTAGTCAAAATGGGCCCAGTGTTACCAGTCTCTGCCACTAGGTCAAAGCACTCATCCCTGGAATAATCCTAATGGGTTTTTGTGAAATTGTTAAATAACGGAAATCAAACTATTAAAATAAAATCAACATGTGGTACCCAAATGCATTCCAATCGTTATTGAATCTCTACATTCTCTTCCCCTCTCCACCCCCCCCCCCNGGAATTTTTAAAGTTAGCTCCTTTCTTTCGGTAAACACTGTTGCCCACGTCTCGATCAATGATCACCCTTAATGTGCAAGTGCACTAACAGAGCAGGCCTGGTTTCTACCCGTAGAGAGCTAGCTCATTTCCCTCTACACCATTGCCTCACCATTCTGTGGCACGCTGTGTTAGAATGCTAATTACTTCATTGATGTGGCAATCCAAGTGTGTTTTATAAAACAACATACCACGGACTCCAGTTACATAGAAAGGAAGGAGCAGACAGAGCCCCAGAGGCTCATTTCATCTAACACTCTTAACTCCACTTCTCTCCTGTTGTTGGCTACTCAGTCTCTTCCCACGGGAGGTGATAAAACAGTGAAAAACAAAAATCCTAAGGCCAATTTAGGGGACAAAAATTTCTGGAAAATTTCTCCATGGTTCTCAAGCACAGTCAGGCCAGCTCCAGAGAGTTGAGCCTCCAAGATGAAAGCCTATTTAATCAACTACACAACCACTTTTATATCAGTGTTGCACATTTAGGCTCTCAATGGATACCGATCCAGTCTTCCCTGTGATATTCATCGAGATGTCTCTTGAACAATTGAATGCTATTAGTTCCTCTTAAAATGCTAATCACATATCAAAATTGTATTTATTTTCCAAAGGGGCAGAGGATGAGTTTGTCAAGTATAAACTAGATTTGTCTTGATTTTCTTCGTCTTTAATTTTAGCTGAGTATATTCGCAATGTCTTGATTTGGGGTAATCTAAGAAGAGCAGTTCTGTATTCTAATAGTATAATATGTCTTCCAGAGTTTCATCGTAGATGGTGTGCTGTACCTCAAAAAATGTGCCTTGACAAATGATGGACACTCCTGAGTACTTGGATTTGGATGCAATAGATTTTAATGATGATATTAATGTAAGTAATGTCTATTATTCTTATGTCATTTTCATCTTGTTTTAATACGCATGCTTTGTGGTAGACTAAATTGAAGTGCCAAAAAATAGCTTGACATTAAGAATAGAATATACAAAAAAAGTGATTTATTATCTGATAGAAAAGTGGCATAAGCTAACTTGCACAACGTTTACAAATGATATGCAACATACATCATTCCTTGATACAGTAATTCACATCTTACAATGAATTTTCGGTTAGAATGGTCCTCGCTGGGTAAGTAGCGGGAAAATTGCCAGGCAGTGTTTTCAGTGGCAAGCTATGTGGTTTTAGCTGGTTGGACTCCAGCAGTACTCCAACACACTCTTGGGTCTTCAAGCCTTAGCTCTTGCCAACCTGTGTCTAATATGCTAGGGAATTTGGTAAGCAGAGTGTGTCCTCCAGGGAGACAGAGTTGTATACTTCATTTTAGATATGGGAATTTTCAAGTGTAGGTGGCATGCATGGAACTCTGTTTTATTTGGATATTCTGAAGCATGGTAAAAGGTTTCTGCATGTGTCAGACAGCCAATTAGCAAAAAAANGTTGGATTTAGTAAAACTGCTGAATTAAAAAAACAGATGTTACTTAAACTATTGAAAGTCCATAAATGATAGTGACCATCATACTCATTTGTTTTATCTTGGAGTTAAGGCAGGAGTATACAGTACATATCCAGTAGAAATCTTTGAGCTGGTATTGTAGTTATCCTGTCGAACTTTGCAATTCGTAAAATGTGGCAGTAGTATGACTACTCTTACGAGATGGACTCTATTTTGAATAAAAAATACTTTATACTCAAATTAATAATTACATCAAATACTAATTCTTGGCTTTTGCTACAACATCTAATGTTGAAACATCTCAAAGTGTTTACAGTAATTACAGTTACGGGTAGTGACTGTATTTGTAGGCATATGCGGTAGCCAGTGACCAATTTATCTGGAGGATTGGTTGGCTAGAAAATCAGGAGAAAGCCCATTCTCTTTTCAAATAGTGTCGCAGGATCTTTCCATCTCTCCAGGCAAATTGTCTGGCAAATTACTTGTGCAGATTCTGCATTAGTGCAATCTGAAAACTATATCAAATGCATGCAAGGTCTTTGGTATAAATACCTTTTAGATCGGGTAAAAAAAAGATTGTCTTTAAAAAGCCTTCTTCCTAAAAACTTCACTCTCTACAGATTGATCTTTTGATTATGAATTTCTCGTGTGAACAGATTTCCATAAGAAGTTGGCCAAATGTCAAGTTTTATAGAACATTTGTCATTACATAGTTTATATTCCTTCATAAATGCAAGACAATCCTAATGTGCCATGATGTGTTCTCCATCAAGGTTATTTAAAAATACAACTAATTGTTAATAAAGCTCTTATTTACCACAGGCTTCTGACGGGTGATGTTATTTGGTTAAAGAAAAAAAAATGGATAATAAAGAACAAATTATTGGCTTCATTTCCTGTTATGCTCAACATTTAACAGATTTCTTAACATATCTTATTAAGAAAGTGTGCTTTTTGTCTCAAATGTTAAACTAACACATATGTGTTCTTTGTGCTGAGATTATGCTCACAACTGATCTAATGCAATAATTTTTTAAAATAAATATACGGCACAAGAGTGGTGAAACTATTCCTTTCATTTGTACATTATTTGTATTTCTTTTACATATTTATTGTCTCCCAGATAGCTGATGAGAGAACTCTAAAGCTTGAACGACAACTGCTGGAACTGCTGTTTTGTCCACAAAATATACAATCAATTCACTTTACAGGATATCATAGAATTATACAGCACAAAAGAAGGTCATTCGGCACATTATGTCTGTGCCGGCTCTTTGAAAAGAGCTATCCAAATCAATCCCACTCCCCTGCTCTCTCCCCATAGCACTGCAAACTTGTCCTCCCCAAATAATTATCTACTTCTCTCTTAAAAGTTGTTATTGAATTGGCTTCCCTTTCAGGCAATGCATTCCAGATCCGAACAACTCGCTGTGTGAAAAAATTTCCAACCCACCCACCAGTGGAAATAGTTTCTCCTTGTTCACCCTATCGAATCCACTCATAATTTTGAACACCTCTGTTAAATCTCCCCTTAACCTTCTTGGCTCCAAGGAGAATAATCCTAGCTTCTCTAGCCTCTCCTGATAATGGAGTTCTGTAGCTCAGTGGTTGGAGCACTCGCTTTGCAAGCGAGAGAACTGGGTTCAATTCCAGACAGGGAGAAACCTTGGGCAAGTTTCCTTACTCCACACAGAGCCTAATAATAATACTCCAAAAAAAAACAATAATAAATTGGTCATTTTCAATCTACGACTGTTTGTGGGACATTGCTGTGCGCAATTGGCTGCCGCGTTCGCCCACAAATATACAGTCAATTCACTTTACAGTGTGTTCTGTGAAGCGCTTTGGGACGTCCTCCCGACGTGAAAAGCGCTATATCAAATGCAAGGATTATTATTATTATTATTGAGCATCAATAATGGGACAACCTGAAGGACCAAAAAGAGAGTACTGGAAAGTATAGCAGTTGTATGAAAGGACTGCTAATATAATTGAGGCTATCCTTGTGTTAAATGATGAGGTTGTTGCTTGAAGGGTAACATTGACTGGAGACCATACCCACTGTGACTTTCAGACAACGTAACTAGCTCTGAAAACATTCAAATATTTTGTCAATCTGATCCCCAAATAACCCTTTTCCTTAGAAAGTTATTTTATCTCATTTTTTCTGGCAGTTTTTCTACTCTCACCTCCACCTTTACTGGAGACATTTAGTTCCTTTTTCCTTATATTGTGTTTCATTCCATCTAGCAAATCTGTAAGAAGGATTTCAACTGCCTGTAGTTTTGTCTCTTGAATACTTTGAGTTACCATAATGTTAAATATGTCAATTGGTTTGACCCTTTACTCATGCCCTTAATCTGAAGATAATAATAGTAATACTAATAATCCTTGCTTTTGATATAGCACTTTTCACATCTTCTCGGTGTCTCAAAGCGCTTCACAGAATAGACTGTAAAGTGAATTGACCGTATATTTGTGGGCAAAAGATCACCGAGGGCTTCAAAATTCTCCTCTGAGAAGTGTTATCTGATTCCCAAGTGTCTACTAGATTAGCTGTGGATCTGCCTTTAAGGTTATTTGTGGGTCAACTGACCAAATGAGTGAAGAGACGGCCTACTGCTGTGCTGTTAAGGCTTTGCTTTTTATCAGTAGCCATTTACTGCAATCTGATTTATTTTGCCAACTTTCATTAATTCTATGAAGATTTTCAAACTGAATGTTTATTTGTTTGGATTTCAGCGCCATTTCTTTGGTCTTTCATCTTCTCCCTCCCTCCCTCCCTCTCTCCCTCCCTCAATTGTTCATAGTTCTGTTTTCTTTCTTTTTTTCTTTTCTCCTCCTTAACTACCACCTCAGTATCTTATCTGTGATACGTGATACGTGAAAAGCGCTATATCAAATTGCAAGGAAGGATTATTATTATAACTGAAGTCCCTCATTCCTGGTACCATCCTAGTAAATCTCCTTTGCACCCTCTCCAATGTCTTGACATCCTTCCTAAAGTGTGGTTCCCAGAACTGAACACAGTACTCTTGCTGAGGCCTAACCAGTGTTTTATAAAGTTCATCATAAATTCCTGACTTTTATTTTCTATGTGCCTGTTTATAAAACCTAGTATCCCGTAAGCTTTTTTAACAGCTTTATTTACTTGTGCTGCCAACTTCAAAGATTTATTTATGAAACCCCAGGTCTCTCTATTCTTTCACGACCTTTAAGATAGTACCATCTATCTTATATTGCCTCTCCTCATTCTTCCTCCCAAAATGCATAACTTCACATTTCTCCACATTAAACTTCATCTGCCACGTGTCTGCCCATTTTACATAACATAACATAACATGTAGGAGCAGGAGTAGGCCTCTCGGCCCTTCGAGCCTGCCCCGCCATTCAATCATGGCTGATCTTCTAATCTAACTCCGGCTAATAGCATAACCCTGCCTTATCCCCATATCCCTTAATCCCTTTTGCAATAAGAAATATATCTATCTCAGTCTTGAATATGTTCAAGGACTGAGCGTCAATAGCCCTTTGGGGGTAGTGAGTTCCATACATTCACCACCCTTTGAGTGAAGAAGTTCTTCCTCAACTCAGTGCGAAAGGGCTGGCCTTTGATTTTAAGGTTGTGACTCCTGGTTTTAGTTTCTCCAACCAGGGGAAACAATCTCCCACTATCTACTCTATCATGCCCTTTGATGATCTTATAGGTTTCTACCAGTCTGTCTGTATCCTCTTGCAGTCTGCTACTCTCCTCTTCACCATTTACTACTTTTCCTAGCTTAGTATTATCTGCAAACTTGGAAACTGTACTCCCGATACCCAAGTCTAGGTGATTTATATAGATCAAAAATATCCTGTGAAGCGCTTTGAGACATCTTGAAGATGTGATAAGGCGCTACATCAAGTGCAAAGGACTATTAATAATGTGATTGTTTTGCAGCTGTTTTTCCATTGCTGCGCTCAGGACATTCTATTGCTTAGGATTAGGCCCCTTTGACTGCAGTATTAAATATAGTTTTGTTTGGACAAATAGTCATTGTGTAGTCTGTCCCTAATCAGCCCGTGTCATAGTCTGACTGAAGGTGGATAGGTGAGATTTACATACCGACTAAATAGTGGGAAGGGGGAATTACTGAAAAGAAAAGTTCTCGATCACAAACCATATTTATGTACTTGTGTGTAGTTCTGGGTTAGAAGCACTTTAGTTGTTCTCGTTTTTCTTCAAGGACAGGAAGGTCTCAATGCAGGTTAAGCTCGAGGCATACAAGACGAGTGTCCAAACAGTTTCCTAGCTCTTGGGTGTTCAGTGGGGGGGTTGCCTCTGGCCTATTCGTGAAGTTCAGGATCAAGCAGTGAGATGAATTTGTGGTAACTAAGGGAAGCGGCTACAGGGAGGGAGGGCTCCAGTCACAATCCATC